AAACTCTTGTGTGAAATCAATGGTGCTGCGTTTGCGTTGATGAAGGATTATGGGTATGCAGACATCTTTTTAAACACTCACTTCACTGTTTCTGTCCATGACTTCTGTCCTCTGTGAAGTTCAGCACAGGCAGGCTTTCTTTGCATTAGCTGGTTTAACAAAACCTAAAAGCCCATTCAGAGATAACGGGCTTCTCAGTGCACTTAAAAAGTATTTTATGGGTCATTCGAGTCTTCTTCCCCACAAAATGGATCAAGTGAGCACCGCCTGCTCCAACCAGACAGAGACTGGTGATAGAGAGCTACATTTAAAAACGGGAAACTCAGTGATGTCTTTGTGCTCGGCCTGTGCCGGCTGCACAGGTTGCACGTGTACAACACTCAGGACCCTGTACGTACAGGATTCTGTGCGAATGGTTCACTTCCACATTATGTCTTTAACATGTTACCATGGCGATCAAAACCCACCACCACTGCGAAACTCTGAAAACTCTGATTTCAGGCTAAATTTACATTTCTAACCTGACACACAGAGCACGATTGCCGGGTCAGATGTTTTAATTTTCATGAAAGCGGCTGTCACCGTGGTAACTGATGCTGAACGCAGCCCGAACAGGAGCAGCTTATCAGAGTGTTGGTTTAAAATCAGCTGGAAGTGCCACGTTCTTCTAATTTACATTAAGTTTTAGATGAAACCAGATCACATGACACAGGAACAGGTTTTACATGGGTAAACTTACGAAGTCAAACCTTATTAAAACCACTGAAGCCCAGGTAGAGTGACAGGTGTGCAAAGTGCACGTTTCCACTTGGTGATGAAGAAGCTTTATTCTTACCTGCTGCTGAGCCTCTGCTGAAACTGCAGCTACGGCAACACAGAATAAATCAAATAAAACGTTTCCTCTCCCCTGTCGACAAAGCAACTCCCACTTCTCGTTTTTAGCCTCTGCAACAGTAACAACCTGGAACATGTAAAACCCGAGATTAATACTGCAGAAGATTGTTAGTCGCTTTTCTTTGTGGCCTTTTTGCAGTTTGCCGTTCAAGTTTTATGACCTTTACAGATTTTTTAAAAAGTTTTGTCATCTGATACGGTCACTGGCTGAGTAGGTGACACTCACAGGGATCATTTTGTGTCTGACGTGAAATGCTCAGAGCTGGAAGCACTGAGCCTAAACAAACACCACAGTGATGACACTGCCCCTGGTGACAGTACACAGGAACAACATGTCAGAGATGGTCAAAAAGACTCTCCTCCTTCACCACAATATCTTTTTATTACAGACTGCTCCAAAGAACCAATGTTTCACTGTTAGCCACATGCTCCGTCTGGCTGAGATCAGTTTTTAAACGTCCCGTCTGTTAACTTGTTTCAGACAAAAAAAAGAAATAAATCGCAGAATGTAAAGCCAGCTGCTTCGTCCTCGCAGGTTCTTCAGTTCTCCATCAGTGTGCAGCTCCAGCACTCACACCTCTACCAGCTTTACAAGCTCACTGCTGCATACGCTTGTTTGTAGAAATCTATTTTTCTCGTCCACGAAACTGAGCGCTGAAATTTACTGAGTAAAACACCTGATACATTTAAACGGGCAACAAGATTTAAACTAAAGACAAAACAGTTGGCACTGTGCAGCTAGGCAGCTCCTTCTAGGGTTGTAGGGCAGTGCTTTAAAAATACTTGGGACAGAATACTACTCGGGGGGGGGCAACACTGTCAGAGTACGTCCTCATTAATGGAACGAAGAACGCTGAAGCAGGCTGAATACTTGTTGAGCAGCATGATTAAAACGAGCTGTGTGCACAGATATGCCCACTGTTGCAGCGTGCACCCACGCTGTGACCGACTGTGGTTCAGAAGAACATGTCCTGGTACAGGTTCTGGCCCATCTCGATGTAGGCCTCCTTCTCCTGTGCAGACATCTGCTCCACCAGCTCTGGCCTCTGGCTCACCTCTCTGTACGAGAAGGGCCGGCCTCCCACCATCACTGTGGGCTCGTCGCCCACTTCCTCAAATTCATCGTCGTCCTCATCATCCTCCTCTTCGCCCCGATGCTGCGCGGCCGCGGCAGGAGGAGGACCCGGGGGCGAGTCATCGTCCGACTCGCTGGTGTCGCTGTCTGAGTCACTGGCGTTGGCAGAGGTGAGAGCCCTCGCAGCGGCGCTTGCTCCACCTGCACCGGCGCCTGCACCACTCCTCTTCTCGTGGATTAGCAGCGCGCGCATCACTTCCTCGTTTTCATCTACCTGACCGGTGCCAGGACCAGGTGCTCCATCCTGGGCTCCAGGTACGTCACCACCTGTGAAAACCACATTAAGATTAGATCACATTCTCATTTTTAGCTTCACTCACAACTTCAACACAGCTCCGCTCTTCAACCCTGTTACTTATTCTGCATCCGTGTCATGTGGTAAGGTAACCATCGGATCGAGTGGAGATTTATCATCTGATCACATGATGCAACTTCTAACCAATCAGGACATCTCACTGGAGCGTAGGCTGGATGAGACAGCACCTGCACAGTTTCTTGGCAGACATTCAGTGCTGCCATGTTTCATCACAGCAAAGCAAAAAGAAGGCGTGGCCTGGGACAAACAGCTGCAACACATAAACGTGAGATCTCCAAGAACGACCGATAACGACATTAATCTGTTTTAAAAGAAATGTGTTAGCTTCAGAGTGAGTGAGTAAGTTCTTAGAAACATGTTTCATAGGTCTTTATCGATACCTGTTCCAGGGTAGGTATGTGCTCTGTGATTGGTCTAGACAGATGGGAAACTAGATGAACAGAAACATTGGCTGAGGATCAGCGGAGCCTATAAGAGAGGCGGGAAACCACGAGTGGTAATTTCTTCTTCTACTTCCTCCCAACTTGCTGAAATAAGCTCAGA